ATCCCATATGCAAACAAGTTGATGTCCCAGCTGCTCCACTTTCCATTTAGTTCCCTGCTTGAGGCCTGGGAAAGCAGCAGAGGATGGCCCTAAGCCTTGGGATCCTGCACCTGTATGGCAAACCCAGAGGAGGCTCCTGGCTCCTGAATTTGTATTGACTCAACTGTGGCTGTTGCAACCACTTGGGGAGTGAACTACAGGATGGAAGATCTTCCTGTCTCTCCTTCTCTCTATAGATCTGCCTTTCCAATAAAAATAAATAACTATTTTTCAAAAATAGCACTAATTAAATTCTCTATACTATAGAGATACATTTTAAGTGTCTGCAAAAGATGCCATTCCTAAAGCCATAGGTGTGATTTTTCTTTAAAGAAATCAGAGGAACAATAAATGTTCCCTGACATGTAAAAAAACAAAACAAAAAAATTAGAGCGCATTGGCTATTTCTGTTGGTCAGAAGTTCGAGCACATCTTAGCTGAGACTACTACATTCTATGATGTTTGGGGTTCCTTCTCGGTTCATGGGGCCCATGGGAAGAACTGGCAGTTCTTAGACTAAGTTCCCCTTTTCTTGCTAACTCTAGGAAGGGCTACTTAGTTAGATGCAACCTCGGGTTCCTTGCCGTTTGCCCTCGTTCTGGTGTGGACGTTAGCTTGCTAACGGGTTAGCTGCAGCATGGAAGAATTCGGGCCCTTTTGGAGCTCACCTGATGAACTCTAGCCCAGATAGATCATCTCCCTCCAGACGAGGCAAGACAACTGACTGCAAGTTTAGTCACAGTGGGGATATCCGGAGGTGGTTGCAAGTCTGTCCCTCCTCTGGAGCAGAAGTTTGTAAGGTACTGTGTGCCCCTTGGGCAGGAAACCTGGGAGCCATCTTAGAATTCCTTCCCAGGGCAGCTTTCCCATGGGGAGGGGCTAAGCGGATGGAGTGAGACTGGATGACAGCTTCCTCCCTACAGCCTCTAGGCCCTCCAGGGAAATCATACAGGTGTGGGGCATTTCTCTCTCTCTCTCTCTCTCTCTCTCTTTTTTTTTTTTTTTGGCTCTTCTTTAAATGAATCCTGAGAATTAATCAATATCATTTGAATCCATTTTTTGAGTCTTCTTGTGGAAACTCCTTTCTTACCAGTGGCAATTTATTCTCTTCCATACCTTTTTTCCACTGTAATGTATCCTGCAGATCTTTCCAAGCATCTCTTGATTGTCTCTTTAATAGCAGCCACTTGATTCCAGGAGACAGAGGAGATGTCTGCACTAAGGTTTCCCGGTGCCCACCTGGACCCTTTGTGGGCGATGTCCTCCTGTCCATCCTTTGGGGAACCATGGGGAAAAGTGCTAGCTCAGGTGATGCTAAACATTCTCAAAGACTGTCAGAGAGAGTGGACTGTGAGGGGAGGTCACACGGAATCTTGATGTTTAAGTCATTCAGGGCAGAGGTAGATAAGCAGGTGCCACTTGTGCGGTCAGAACACCTTGGACATACAGCGGGTAGAATATAACCCACTCACCAGCAAGTGATACAGGCAGACAACTCTTTCATAAATGGCAGTGACCTGAGCAGCTCCCAGGCACGTCAGCAGGGAGAAGCAGCTGCGTAAGAAGCAGAGGAACCAGCACTTGAATGAGCCGCTTCACCAGTTGTTGGTGTCCAAGTGCTAATACAAGCTTCCTTGTCAAACTCCAGCCTCTGCTTAGTAAATGACATACTATGGGCTTAATTATGGGCTAAGGAAGGTAGCTAGAAACTGTTCAGGATTCTTTCAATGGAAAAGTGTTTTGGCAGTTCCAAACACTGAAGTCATCTAATTAGATATTATTTCACAATCTACATCATGGGGTTGAGGGGGTGATCCCTGGGGAAACAACTACTGATGGGGCACTATCCACTGACCAGAGCGCTGTGACAGAGTTTGGGATTTTTATAACCTCAATATAATCTAGAAATGTCAAACTGCTTAAAGCTAGAGGGGATATGTTAGATTGTGTACATTTTCTGCTAAGTTTTGGAAAATATTTATGTATTCATTTGAAAAATAGGAAGTACACAGAGGAAGACAGAGAGAGAGAGAATGAATGAGAATCCTTCCATCCTTCCACTGGTTCACTTCCCAAATGGCCACAAAGGACAGGGTTGGGCTAGGCCAGAGCCAGGAGCAGTCAGCTCTGGCTGTTGTGGCCACTTAGGGAGTGAGCCAGTGGACAGAAGGTTTTTCTGTCTCTTCTCTCTGGAAAACCTGACTTTCCAATTAAAAAAAGAAAAAGAATAAGAAGAGACTGGCAGCAGGCACCTTCTCATCAGCAAACTCGCAGGGGAGGCTCCCACTGAAGCCTTGCCATTCTCCATTCCAATGTTGCTCTGCCCAAAGCATCTCCACCCTTAAGAATCGAGAATGTTTATAAAACCTCACACTGAAATGACTAGTATCTTTTTATTGCATAATTAAAGTACATTGTTCCGTTAGCAGTAAAGGTATTTTCAGGACAGGTTTCATGGAGTAGCTTGTAAAGCCGAAGCAGGAGAGGCTGGCATCCTGTACGAGCCCCACCTTGGAGTCCAACTATTCAACATCTGGTCCAGCTCCGTGCTATGACTAGGAAAACAATAGGAGATGGCCTATGTATTTGGGTCCTTGCCACCCACGTGGGAGACTGGGGGAAGCTCCCAGGACTGGCCATTGTGGCCACTTGGGAGTGAGCCAGAAGGTGTAAGATCACACATATTCTCTCCCTCCAACTCTCAAATGAATCAATCAACCAATCGATCTTTTTTTTTAAAATAAATTCTCATTATTCATGAATGATGCCCATGTTTTTCTCTAAAAGCTCTCCTTACTCTATTTGGTTGCATTTTGACGTTGAGTAAAACTAAAATAAGGCAGTTCTGCAGGAAAGCTGCAAGAGACTCTTCAGCGAGCAGGATACAGCCAATTTCCTCCCAAGCCTTTAAGGAACAGAAACTGCTTAGCTGTGCACTCTCGGCTAGTTCTGTTTCCACCGACCATTTTCAGGTTGCACGAAGCTTCTAATCATTTGGTTGGAAGAAGACAGCTGCTATTGAGATTGGATTTTAATATAAGAGCTAAAGGCTTACAATCCTCTCCAGGGTCATTTGGTACATCAAGAAAGTCAGCACTTACAAGGGAAACAAAGAAAGAACAGTCTCCAACATCGTGACTCTGAACAGTTCTATTAGGTTTAATATCATCCACCGAGGCAGTCCTTTGCAATTGATAAAGCATTTTTATTTCCAATTGGCTTTAATTTTTTTAAACAGTCTTTTTTTTATTGTTAATAACATGGTCTTATGTGATACAGTTTTATAGGCACTGGAATTCCCCCCACCCCTCCCACATCCCTCCCCCCATGGTGGATTCCTCCACCTTGCTGCATAATCACAGTTGAAGTTCAGTTGGGATTCCTTCATTGCAAGCATATACCTAGCATAGCGTCCAGCATCTTATTGTCCAGATAAGTTCAGCAGCTTCTAGGGGAGACCTTCTCTAGTCTGAAGGTAGAGCTAACAGAGTAAAGTCCCGGTCAGTTAAAAGCCCCAACAAAACATCAGCAACAATATACAATGTTATGGAATTGATTGACACAGTATTGAGTAAACAATATGTTAAAAATAGTGCAAGTTCAATTTTTCACAACACATGGGTTGAGACAGTATCAATGACAGGTTCAAAAACAAACAAACAAACAAACAAAATTACTGGTTAAATTAAGGCAAACATGTGGTATCTAACCTTTTGGGATTCACTCATTTCCCTTAGCATTGTAGTTTCCAGTTGGGTCCCTTTAGCCACAAAGAACTGCATTTTGTTTTTTTTAATAGCTGAGTAGTATTCCATGGAGTAGATGAACCAAAGCTTTCTTATCCAATCTTCTGCTGATGGGCATTTCGGTTGCTTCCATGTTTTGGCAATTACTAATTGTGCTGCTGTGAACATAGGGGTGCATGTTGGTTTGTCGTGAAACAGGTGTTTTGGATATATTCCTAGGAGTGCTATTGCTGGATCATATGGTATGCAGATTTTGAGTTGTTTAAGTGTTCTCCATACTGATTTCCATAAGGGCTGTACCAACCTGCAGCCCCACCAGCAGTGGAGTAGGGTTCCCTTTTCCCCACATCCTCGCCGATTGGCTTTAATTGTAATGATTTGAGATTAGACACTTCCATTATGCTAATACTACCTGGTTCCATGTGTTTATTGGTGTAACCAGATTGCACGCCTTATCATCCACCTGCTCTGATGTTCCTCGACTGCATAACACCCTGAATGTCTCTACCGGCAATAAGAAATCATCAGTATTGATGATTAATGAACAAAACTAGAGCCCTCACAAGATCCTGCCTCACGTTTGCTTCCTCATGCTTTCTGCTGTTTATGATACATACCCTCAGAATTCAGCGTGTGACTCCTGGCACAGAACGTCTGGATTAGATGAAATAGTGAATAATCCCCCTCCTGCCGGCACCCTTCGGGCCACGCTCGCCAGGGTGGATGAGGAGGAAGTCGCCCTTAAGGTTGGAATGATCCGGGTCCCTTCTTTGTAAAATTCAGCCTCCAACTCCCGGGCTCTCCAGAGAGGCCACCTGCTGGGAAGGTGCGACCCGCAACAGAGCCTTGCGCATCGAACTCGGCCAAAGTCCGGAAGGCGATTGCGGGATGTGGCTTCTAACTAGATATTATATTACAATCTATATCGTGGGTTTCAGGGTGTGATCCCTGTGGGAAAGGGTTTCAACCACGGCGGCGAGACCGTGTGGCCGGGGGCGGGCACTCGGGCGGGCGGAGCCTGGGGAAGCCTGCGCCTTCTGGGCGGGAGGTCGCGCTCCGAGCAGACTGCACGCAGCGCATCGGCGGCTCGCCAAGCTCCCAAGCGCCCCTCCGCCGCTTCCCAAGCGCCCCTCCGCCGCCTCCCAAGCGCCCCTCCGCCGCCTCCCAAGCGCCCCTCCGCCGCTTCCCTCCGCCGCTTCCACCTGGTGAGGCGAAGAGCTGCCGACAGGGACGCGCGCGCCGCCGGGTCCAGTGCGGACGCGGCGCTGAGGGCGCTGGCAGTGCGCGGACCCCACATCTCCCGTTGCTGAGCCCGCTGGGAAAACGGAGCTGCTACGGAAAGGTCACGCGACTTTCGAGGCCCAAGGTACTTGCATGGCGGCGGTTTAGGGGGTGAGGCTGGGCAGATTTCTGTCTATCCCCCAAAGACGCCAGTCCCTACTCTACTAGAAAGACTGGAGGAAGTCGTTAGTACTCTCCTGATCCCAGCTGCGGGAAACAGGTGGGTATTGGGAGAGGAGAGGCACAGGGGAAAAGATGGAGATGGGAGGACTGTGTTTCCTTCGTGCTTTCCTGTTGCCGACAAAACGTCATTACTCAGAAAACTACGGAAAGTTGGGGGCGCGCGGAGCGTTTGCGCGGGAGCCCCCGGTCCCGCCGCGTGCTCGCAGCCGGAGTTCCTTCTGAGCTCCCGGGTCCGTGAGATCGAGCAGGATTCATCTCGACCGGCCTGCCAGCCCGCCTACTTAAGTCCGGGAAACACAGCTATTTATTGTTGTTAGAGACTTCCCGCAGCTTTCAAACTATACAGGGGGAATTTTTCAAATCATTTGGCAACCGGAACCCGTCACCCCCGGTGAACCTCGCAGCCGCGTCCCGGCCCGCGGGGCAGCGGACTGTGCACGTCGCCCTGGGCAGGAACGCTGAGCTTCCCCAAAGCTTCCCTCCCGCCGCCTGCTCGCACAGCACTCTGACGCTTTAGGGAGCGGCGCAGCCTCCCGGTGGCTCCCGCAGTGGAGGCCACACAAGGCTTAAAAGCCACCCGGCGCCGAGTGGACCGTGATGCAGGCAAGTTAGGCCTGGAGGCGTGGACAGCGTGGCATTCCCACCCCCGGACTAGCTCTGCAATTGGTGTGTTGACCAGGAAGAAATGCTTTTCCTTGTTGATCGCCCCGCAGACCACTCTGGGGACAGTGGATGGGAAGTGAAAGCGCTATTTTCAGAGGGAGCACCTCCGCACCCATCATGCAGAAGGATCTCGCCCTTTGGAAGTGTGTGTCACAAGTTACCATGCTCCTTAGATCCTGTTTTGAAAATCCATGTCTTGACGTGTGGAACACTATGTTGGCAGGCATGGTAGCTCGGGGACTCCCGAGTTTCTCCTCCTCTTCTTTTTGAAAGATGTATTTATTTTTATTAGAAAGGCAGATTTACAGAAGGGAGAAGAGACAGAAACATCATCCACCCGCTGGTTCACTCCCCAGATGTCCCCATCGACTGGAGCTGAGCCTGTCCGAAGTCAGGAGCAAGGAGTTTCTTCCACGTCTCCCACACGGGTGCGGGGTTTCAAGGCCTTGCACTATCCTTCATTGCTTTCACAGGCCACAAGCAGGGAGCTGGATGGGAAATGGAGCAGCCGGGAAAGGAACTAGCATCCACAGTGTTTACAGGCGATTGGAGGCGGAGGATGGGAAATGGAGCAGCTGGGAAAGGAACTAGCATCCACAGTGTTTACAGGCGATTGGAGGCGGAGGATTAGCCAATTGTGCCAATGTGCCGGGCCCTACTGACTTGCCAGTAAGCTGTTTGCACACCTGATTACTTCGAGCAAATTATGCTTCCCTGGCTTTGCAGGCAGGGTGGGCACGTGGCCTCCTGTGGAGCTTGGGGTGGGGTAGCAGATACAGGTAGTTTTTGCAGCGGACCCCACTTATGTATCAGCTATCCCTTCCTGCCAGTCCTCCCTTGATCTTGCCCTTCCCTTACCAGCTCGGAGGGTCCCAGCAAAGTGCCTGACGGTGCCTGCCAACCCGCAGGAAGCCTTAGCTCACTTCTGACTCTCAAAGGTAGCCGGTTCCTGTTCTCTTTCACTCATTCAGTGACAAGGCTGCTAATAGCAGAGTTGGTCTTCATTTCTTTACCGATTTGCTGTTTGTCTCAGAGCTTTTGTGAACACAGCTGTTATGACATGTCGGACATGGTTAGTGTCTTACAGCTGTCGGTTGTCAGATGTGAGAGTTCATGTCAGCCGGTGGGTTTTGGTGACAACCGGTGACTATGCAGTTCTACTCCATTCTGTGAAGACCAGATGACCTGTGCTTAGTGGAGTGTTGCAGGGATGCCAAGTGCACTTTATGGAGCATGCACACCAGATAGTTAACCTCCTTCCTGCTCCTGGCCCCAGATTCATCCCAGGCAGGGTGTTAGTAAAAAGCTGACTTTACATCCATAGCTTTAAAATGTTTGTTTATATTAATAAATTTGAAATGCAGAGCAACAGTGAGAGAGATTTCCTGTTCACTGCTTCACTCCCAAGTACCAACGGTAGCCAGGGCTGGGCCGGGCTGAAATCTTCCACTCTGCTCAGATGTGGCTTGTGGGTGGTAGAGGCCTGAAGTAACAGAGCCATGCCTTGATTTTTAGTTTGGTTGTCCTTTTGCAACTATTTTAGAATTATCCAAAATCCAGGAATGAACTAGAATGATGGAAACATATCTAAGACAAAGGTGAACTCTTTGTTGTGGTCATTTTGATTTGTTTTGTTGTAAGTTTAATGCATGTTTCTGATAGGAAATTTGGAAAAATAGGAACACATTCAGAGGAAAGTAGAAATGACTCACACTTCACAGCCTGACAGCAGATTCTTTTCAGCTTCTTATTGCATCATCTCATTACTTACATTCTTTTATGATATCTGCTTCTTGGGCAATGAGATTTTATCCTTTTTATTTTCCAATGGCAGTGTGACCAATACCAGCCATGGTGTGTTAATTTATTGTTGATGCTGGTTTCATAATAATTTTTATTACTCTGACTCAAGACTTTTTGAGTGTTCTCATTTTTTTTCTACTTATAACTGGACAGTTGTTCTCTGGGTAGTGTAATATGATGAAAAAATATTAGGAATGTGAAGTTAAAGATATATTTCCAAATCAGTAAACAAAGACATCTTGCTTAGCTCTGCCATTTGTTGAATACATGTACAGGTCATGAGTTTTATTTTTTAACAAAAGAGGAAAACATTGTATTTTTTTTTAAAAAAAGAAATATTTAAAAGACAGAATCAAGAGAGTGAACTTGTGCTTCCATTTGCAATGGCTAGAGTTGGGTGGACCTGAAGCCAAGAGAGCCAGGGCCTCTTACATGGCTGCAGGGACCCAACAACTGAGGCCTTCTTCCTCTGCTTTCCTGGATGCACTAGGAGGGAGTTGAATCCTACGTGGAGCAGTCACACTCAAAGCAGTGCCTATAAGGAATGTTGGTGTCATAGGCAGTGGTTTTGCCTGCTATGCCATATGCTGCCCCTCCAAACATTGTATCTTAAAAGTACAGGAACTGATGGAAGGCTAATCCTTTGCCAGTAGTGCTGGCATCCGATAGTGGAGCCAGCTTGAATCAGGCTACTCCACTTATAATTCACCTCCTTGCTTGTGGCCCAGGGAAGCAGCAGAGGATGGCTTAAGTCTCGGGCCCTCCCTGGCTCCAGGCTTTAGACAAGCCCAGCTCTAGCCAATGTAGCCATCTGGGGAGTGACCCAGTAGATGGAAGATCACTCTGTCCCTCCTTTCTGTAACTCTTCCTTTCCAATAAAAATAAGAAAGGCTTTAAAACAGCAAATAAAAGGAAATAGTACAGAAAGGGAAGGAAAACATTTTTAAAAACTGTATAATTCTGATTCTAACATGTATTACAGATGGTCAACAAAAAATAAAACTATGCATTAACTCTGCATAAGGATATTGATGCAAAAGCCTCAGATTGTTAGAAACAAACAGAAACCAGGTGCACGAAGCAGTGCAATTCCTTTAAGGACTAGAAAAGGACAAGGTAGAAACTCATCACCGTGGGCAAAGATGTTATGATGCTGCTAAGAGATCAGGTAGGTGAGGATCTCCCGTACCTGCTACTAAGGGAAAAACACAAGGCCCACCACTCAACACCAGGATGGTATGTTCCTGTTTGTACAAGAAAAGGTTGCTCTCTGGCGATCCCTCTGTGTGAGTATGTGTGTACAGGAGTACTGTAGTGAAGAGGAAAGCAATGTTGACAGTGCAGGGGGAGGTGGTGGAACAGGCTTGTTAAATACTTTTCTGTGTGAATTTTTAATCATCAATTTTTTAAAAACTGTTGAAAAATGGCAGTTACATGTCAAAATACTTCACAGAGATCCAATTTTCATCTTCTGTTAACTGACATGAAATGCTTGACTGACAGTGTGGGGTAGGGATCTTGAGGGACTTTTGAGCCCTAGACATGAGCCACCCAGCAGTTAGATGGTGCTATTTATGGCTAATGACGGTTTGTTCACCCACTTGTTAGAAACCACTGACAAAAATAAATAATTCTAGTACCAGGGAGGACTTGAATTCTTAGAACTTCCTCAAGATTTTTTTTTAAATGTGTAGGATGTCTAAATTTTAAAATTAGAGAATAAAATAACTGAAGCATTTACCTTATTTGATGGTCTGCTTACTAGAAACACAAGTGATGAAGAGGAAGAATAAATGCTGTAGCTATTTATAACTTGAAATTTTTTTACTATATTAGATTCCTAATGTATTTGACTAACATACAATGAATGCATTGTAGGTTTTCTTATGTCAGCTTTCTGAGTGTGTTGCAATGGAAGAGATTTCACAATTTCCCTGTTTCCCACTGAACCTAGTTCCCAGGGCAGGCACTTGGGGTGCTGCCTACATGCCCTGCTGGAGAGCCTGGGGTCAGGTCCCAGCTCTGCTCCCAGTTTCCGTTTTTTGGTACTGCACTCTCAGAATGACAGAAGGGACTGGCTCATGTAGCTAGGTCCCTGCCACTTACATGGAAGACTTGGATTCAGAGTTCTCTGTCCCTGGTGCCAGCCTGGCCTAGCTGTGCTGCCAGCCTGGCCTAGCTGTGCTGCCATGCGCATCTGGGGAGTGAACCAGTTAAGGGCAGATCTGTCTGTCTCTAATAAAGCCTCTGAATAGGTTTAAAATAATGTGCATCTGTTACATTTTCTCTAGGGCTACATTACTTTAAATGAGAAAGGACTGAAGTTTTGTCAGGTTTGCCCCTAAACACCTTACTGTCAATAATTGCTATTTCCAGATTGTATCTAGAACCTTATCCTCAAGGACATATTAGTGAAAATATTCTCTGTGCTGTTTTCAGAACCTTTCATTGAAACACTGAAGGTTCTTGTGTGTATGCGGCGTGAGGGTGTGAACTCACTAGGTGTTGTCACTGTTGCAGGCTGGCTTTCTGGTGCGCATCATGTCCAGTTTTGAAGATGCTGACACAGAAGAGACAGTAACTTGTCTCCAGATGACTGTGTACCATCCCGCCCAGAGTCAGAGCAGCATATTTCATGCCATACACTTCAATAAGCGAGAGAAACTATCCTCCAGCGAAGTGGTGAAATTTGGCCGAAATTCCAAGGTCTGTCATTACACTTTTCTTGACAAACAGGCTTCCCGAGTTCAGTTTTCTCTGCAACTGTTTAAACAGTTCAACAGTTCAGTTCTGTCTTTTGAAATTAAAAATATGAGTAGGAAGACCAATCTGATTGTGGACAATCAGGAGCTGGGCTACCTCAATAAAATGGACCTGCCACACAAGTGCCTGGTGCGATTCAGTGAGTATCAGTTCCTGATGGAAAAGGAAGAGGGAGAGTCGCTGGATTCATTCGAGACTCAGTTTATTTTGTCTCCAAGACCACTCCTGCAAGAAAACATCTGGCCGCCTCACAAGCCCATCCCTGAGCACGGCTCTTCCTTACCCTTCCCCACCCGAAACACTTCTCCTACAGAAATGGATGAAAATGAATGGTGACCCTGGAGAGCCTCAGAGAAGCAGGAAGCAGCACTGCGTAGACACCTGACCTACAGGCACCGTGCTTACTCAGTGTAGTGTACTGTAATCATCTGTAAGCCGTCCGTGGACAGTGCTGTATTATAAACTTGAAGTGTGTAGTCTGTGAGTCATCAATGTCATCACCTGTGGCATTCCCCAGTCTGGGAGAATGATTTTATGGGCACATCTGTGAGACTGATGTTTTTAAAGCAAACTGTTGTGATGACACACATTTCTATGCTGGATTTGAGTCTTGTATTTTTTTTTCTTGGTTTGGTCTCATCATTTCACAGAAGCCATCTGATTTCAAGGTCAAGGTTCCTTGAATTGGTGCTTGTTGTTATCAAAGTGAGTTCTAGACTACTGCCTGGGCATCACTGTAGTTTTAATATGGGAAGACTGGTTTGAGAAATAATTTTGTTATGTATTACTTCACATAGGATTATAGTGTTTATACCAGCAGTGTCAGTTTTCCTGCCTGTACGCAACATTTAAAGACAATATGTATAGATTTTAAAGAAATGCAATTTTAGAATTATCAAATCTGGTTTGATTTTTATTTAGTTGAGTTTTTAAATTCTGTGAAATCAATGTTTTAATAGCATTCATGCACATAATAAAGTCAAAGTTTAAATGACTAACCATTTCTTTGAAACTCATGAGGGAAAGAGCCGTTTTTATGAGACTTTAGTCACTAAATATATGTGAATATTTATAATGATTACATAAATATTTCTAAATTTTGAGTTTCAAAAAGACTTGCTTTTATTTAAAAGATTTCCTTTTAGCTTATTTTACCCAGAAAGAGAATGTTAATTAGACTGGTAGCTATTTGGTAATTAAACTCTAATATTACAAAAAAGTAAGGGGCATTCCATACAGTTTTAGAAAGTAAATAAAATTTCCTGCAGGAAGAGGTCCATTTATTTGGAGAGTGGGGGAAGGATTTGTGTATTATTTCCACAACCACCTTTCTAACAGCATTTTTTAACTTCCCCAGTGTCTGAGCAAGTGAATGTTAACCTTATTAAGCCTGCTGTTGACCTGGACCATTGATCTCTCCTGGGCTGTCTGTCATGTCCAGCAGCCTGACTGCCAATCCCCAGCGCTGGAGCTATTCCAGCTCAATGAAGTCCTTGTTTCCTGCACGACTCTTTCATTTTCCATGTCTTGTTTTTCTTTTGCCTTGTAGTAGCAGAGCGATGGCTGAAGGCCAGTAAAGGTATCCAGATGCTGTTGTGCTAACCTTCAGAACCCGGGAGTGTGTTTACATTGCAGAAGGGAATTAAAACTGCACATGGATTTAAAGTTGCTAAGTGAGTACCTTAAAATAGATGCTCCTGGATTATCTGGGTGGACCCAATTAATCACAGGATCCTTAAGTGTGGGAGAGAGGTAAAACAAGATATCAGAGTGATGAAATGTAGAACCGGATCCACTGATGACAGCTTTGAAGATGGAGGAAGGAGCTCTGGAGCCAAGGAAAAACAGCAGCCTCTTGAAGAACTGGGACACTGCACTAGCCACCCGGGAGCCGAAAAAGGCCAAGAAACTTTGAATGAAATCCTGGGACACTGGGTCATGCTAGTGAGATCTCTTGAGTTCTTAGTTACAGAACTTTGTAACGGTAAAGTTGTGCTGCTTTAAGCCATGACATAAATGTTACAGGAGTGGAGAGAAAATATACTCTCTGTGACTCTGTCAATCAGTTGCCTTTATTAAACAGTTTTTGTTTAGTGTCATAACTTCTAATTCGATTACCCAGCTTGTTAGAACTGCTTCCCATGTCAAGTTAAGGCGAAGGCTCTAGTATATTTAGGCTTTAGTGTGTTATGTATCATCACCTTTTAACCATTTTGTCAGACTTCCATACTTCTATTTCTGATTTTTGACTCTGATAATATTAAAGTTACTAAATCATAAAGTTTTAATATTATGGCATCCAAGGCCAGTGCTGTGGCAGACTAAACTGCTGCCTCCAGCATGGAATCTCACGGGATGCCAGTTCAAGTCCAGGCTGCTGCACTTCCAGTCCAGCTCCCTGCTAATTCACAGAGGCAGAGGATAGGCGCTCTCAGGGCTCCTTCAAGAGTGCTTGGGGCTGGCATTGTGGCATAATAGTTTTAGCAGCTTCCTGCAATGCTGGCATTACATGGGGCGCCAGTTTGAATCCCCACTACTCCACTTTTCATTCAGTTCCCTGCAAATGTGTCTGAGATGACACAAGGGGATGGCCTAAGCCTTTGGTCCCCTATGCTCAAGTGGGAGACCCACAAGAAGCTCCTGGCCCAGCCCTGGCTGTCATGGACATCTGGAGAAATTCTGAAAACAGTGGATGGAAGATATTTCTGTAACTTGCCTTTAAAAGCACAAAATAATTAAAACAAAAACAAAACAAAACAAATCTTTTCGGGCCCAGTGTAGTAGCCAAGTGGCTAAAGTCCTCGCTTTGCATGTGCCAGGATACCATATGGACACCGGTTCATATTCCAGCTGCTCCACTTCCCTTCCAGCTCCCTGCTTGTCACCTGGAAAGGCAGTCGAGTACAGTCTAAAGCCTTGGGACTCTGCCTGCATGGGAGACTGAGAAGCTCCTGGCTCTTATTTCAGATTAGCTCAGCTCTGGCTCTTGAAGCCATGTGGGGAATGAAGCAGTGGATGGAAGATGTTTCTCTCTGTCTCTCCTTCTCTCTATAGATCTGACTTTCCAATAAAAATAAATTTATATATACAAACAAAGGTTTTCTTCCCATGTCTCATCATGCCCTTGTTGTATATTCCCTAACTTTGTGATTATTTTAGTGTTTATACTAAAAAACATGTTATTAAACATAGGTCAGTATGTTTTTTATATGTATGTTATTACGGTTCATGTCTTTTGTTAGAATGTTAAAATAAAATAGGACACTTACATGTCTTGTCTCTTTTTTACTGCTACGTCCCAACACCCTGACAGACTCAGTAGATCCTGACTGTTGCTTAATATGTGATTTCTAATTGTTTTTTTAAGAAACAAAGTTATAACTGTTTCTCTTAGCAGTTAAAACATTTCAAGTTTAATCCCATCTTCCTTTCCTAATTTACTCCTTTGTGTCTAACCATATCAAGTTTAATAATAATTCAGAATTCATAGTATTTGTATATTTACATAGTAAAATCAATAATTAGATAATAATTTATTACCTTTAAGTGTAAAAACATGTTTATTCACAATCCTTGAGAAGTTACCATTCCTTCAAAAAAATTATTTATGAACAAAAAGCCAAGAAAAATTACCATAGTAGCTTATGCCAAACCAAAAATATACATCTGATGTATACAAACTTTAGAAAGCATTGACACAGGCAATGTCAATATAGATTAATATTAAAATATTTCCAATGACATAGCTACAACTTAAATTATGATACAGATATAAATAATGGTATTACCTAATGCATATTTACATATTAAAGTGTCATATTTCTATGAGATAAAAAGGGACATAAAACTACAGATGTCATTGCCTAGTAGTTAAAATATTGAAAGGGCCACAGGATTGTTTTTAAAAGTACAGCAAAAACTTTCAGTTACTATTTATTTCTGGACCTTCCTATATAGTTTTGGGAACATGCACTGTCATTGTTGCAAGAAAAAGAAAAGAAAAACCAAACAACAGTTTACTTATTATTAAAATCATACTCAATCCTCAGCAAAATCAAGGAAAGCAATTAGTGAGTGCTTTATGTTCTTGGCCTTTTATACTGATGCAAAAACTTTAGGGGAAAAAAGGACATAACTGTCGTGCCTGACATGATAGCCTAGCAGCTATAGTCCTGGCCTTGCATGCACCGAGATCCCATATGCGCACTGGTTCTAATCCCGGTGGTCCCGCTTCCCATCCAGCTCCCTACTTGTGGCCTGGGAAAGCAGTCAAAGACAGCCCAAAGCCTTGAGACCCTGCATCTGCAGTGGCGACCCGGAAGAGGGTCCAGACTCCTGGCTTTGGTTTGGCTCAGCTCTGGCCGTTGGTGCTGCTTGGGGAGTGAATGGATGGAAGATCTTTCCTTCTGTCTCTTTCTCCTCTCTGTATATCTTTCCAATAAAAAAGTAAAATAAATCTTAAAAAAAAAGACATAACTATCATAAAATGCAGGTACACATATTCATAACTTAGTTCCATCCTATTAAAGCACCTTGTGCTACAAGGCAAGGAAATTATAATGAAATCAATGAAGCCTTTCATACCAAAATGGATTTAATCTAAATACCCGTATTATTCTTTTAGGTATTTCTTTTTTAGATCATGCAGAGAATATGTTCAGTGTAAAATATAAGATCATTCATTGGAAATATAGAATTTAAAAAAATAGCAACACCTAAAAACTTAATATATCAATTTGGAGTCAATACAATGGCACGTAAAGTGAAGCGAAAGGCCTAAATATATACTTTTTCTTAAATATTGTTGATTATAGCCAACTTGAAGTGTCCAAACTCTGAAAGCTTATTTTTTATATTTTCTTCAGATTTAATCAACATGATCATACTAGAATATATAATAAATATAGAAAGGAAGTACTAAGCATTTCTTAGTCATTTACTCAAATTAATTGTGCTTACTATTGGAAAATAAAATTCAAACTAGTCACAGCAGTAACACTAGAAAAGGAAACACTATTTTCAGTTTGTCCCTCATGCTCCTTTCACATCTGCTGAGAATTCACAAAAAAATGCCTTAACATTTTCATAGATAACGAAATAGGCTTAAAGCATTCAAAATCATTTCCTTTTTTTTTTTTTTAAGTGAAACTACAACAGGAAGCAATACTATAAAGGAAGGAGTTAAAGTAAGTTAATTGGTAAATGACAGAACCAATCAATTGGTCTGGAAAAAGCAGAAGGCAGATGATGAAATTGCACTTAATTCTGAAGCGATTCAGATCTATCCTTACTCCTTTCTAATAAAATAAGCATTTGCAACATGGTTTCTTACCTTCCCTTACAAAAAGTCTCAGCACAACCATTTATACATTCTAGTTTTTTAACATTTGGTCATAACTGATAAACAGGGTCACACAATTTTACTCTACCGAGTCTGCTGATCTGTATCACACTGCTTTGTGGCAGAATCAGACAGTTCTAATACAGGATTTACAAACCCAGAATACTCAGAATTGCCATTATCATCCATTTCGGCACTAACAAAGTCATTCTCCCATTCCAGGCCATTGGAATCATCGGAGGCTGATGTAGGATTACTTCCCGTCTTCTTGCTGCTATACTTGAGCGCTGCCCGGAGAATGTCTTCCTCTGTTTTGGAACGTTCTCTCATAGGAAGCATTCTGTTCATTCCTATGATTTGAACACAGGTTTTATAACTTTAAATGCAGACATATTAAAAGACGTCCTCATGTAGTTTTTATATAACTATCAAACTTGATTTGTAAACTAACTTTAAAAGACAGTCCTATGTAGATTTTCTTCAGGGAAATAGTTAGGGTCTACTTCTGAAATATGCCTTACATAAAATATTAATATTCGCTAAACAGCATTTCTAATGTAACACTGATAATCTAGTAAGATAAAACTTTTGAAGAACAAAACATCAAACAGAAAAGATGGATGATTTCACTTGCTATTAGTCTTATGCTGCTAAATCAAGATCGATGGGCCAAGATCCTTCCCAGTTACAGTACTTCTACTTCCCAAGAATGACAACTATTCTAATGAGAACAATATGCTTCTCCAGTGCTAAATTCCAGCTAGTGATGTACTCACTTCAGAAAAATCCGATGAGCTAATCCCCCTAACTCTAAGTACCATCATCATCCCCATTTTACAGAAGAGGCAATGGGAGGGAGGGTAAGTGATTTCGTAAGGTCACACAGTGACAAGTGGTAAATCAAGACTCAGATGGACTCATTCTAGCCCTGAGGCTTTCTGACTTCATCACAACAGAGTAGAAAAGTTTTGAGGCAAAATTGTATTAGTTTTAATGTTGAAGAGAAAGAAACTGGTAAGCTGAAAGCATCAAAAATCTTGGAGGGAAAAAAATGTCCCATTTTATTAGTAGAAGGAAGGGAAAACAGAAATCTGAGTTTCTAGAATCAACACTGGTAACAATCCAAATCTAGAATTGCCAAGAAGGTTGTGGAAAAAATAGGACTCAACACATTCAATGATTTTGTTTTTCATCTTAAAAATCATATCCTATAGTAATAAAATAATTAAATCTATATCACTCCTGAAAAAGAATATATATATATATCAAATATATATATAAATTTGATCCTCACATCATTCATCCATTTACTTGCTTAAATATTTTTAACCAGCTACATGTGACAGGTATATTTAGACTATGTGACAGTGAAATATTATCTTTTAAAGTAGGTTTATTATTCCCTTCTTAAGACGAACAAGTTGAAGCTGAAGAGAAATGACTACTATAAAATCCTGTAGTCGGAAAGATGTACAGTTAAGATCAAATTCATATCTCAAGTACAGTTTTTATTTTTATCAAAGTAACAAGACACAGTGTTTAGCTTACCAATTACCACACTGATTAATACGTTGGTGTCCCACATCTAGTACCCAGCAAGATGCCAATTGCCTACTAATATGGATCCCATGAGGCATTGGTGACCACTCGAGTGACTGGGATCCTGCCTCTAAGGAAGACTGGGACTGTGTTTCTGACTTGTAGTGTCTGCACCAGCCCAGCCTCCTTGTTCGAGGACTTTCGGGAAATGAACCAGTGAATAGCAGCTTGTTTGCTCTCCCTCTCTGCCTCACAAATGAAAAGCAATATTAAAAAATAAAAAGAGAATGACATTGCTCATTTATATATAATATATATAACATATATATATTATATGTAAATTATATATAATACGTCAAGTTAATGAAGTTTTAGCTTTAGATTACCCAGAAGAGGACAGTAATCCTTCATGAGCTAGATTACAAAAACTTTAAGAAATTAACATTTATTTTCTAAATCTCAAAGAACATTAAAAATTAAGCATTTCTATTACTTCTCAGCCTTTTGGCTAAGATCAAGTGTAAAAATTAAGCATTTCCAAAACAATCTATCGCCACAAGATAAACACTAATACAAAAGTACAAGGGATTTTTATATCTATTTTCCAAGGACTTGTGTACCTTCTTCATCCTCCCATTCCAGGTCTAAGGATGTGCTGTCATCATTCCCACTGGTTGACTTGGTTTTGGTCATTAGATCACAGCTGCTTTCTGTATTTGGTGTAAGAACTGTGGCATCAGATGAGAGTCCTACAGCAGACGGCAAACAAGTCACCCACACATGTAACCACAGCAGTAATGTTCTTGGACAACAACTCTCTGTCAAATCAGTTTTGCTTTAACCCTTGGGACCAATAAGTGACACCATTGCATTGTTATGTTTCTGTTAGGAACAGTTGTTTAAATGGTTTGTCACCCACTTTTATAACACACAAATATAAATGAATTATAAACTGTTTACATGGTTAATTTTAGATAGTTTTCTAACAATCAATTACGAAGATGGGTTAAAAAAGACAAAAGACTTGAAAGGCAGGCTACATTTTCTTTTTTCAAAAATACACTTCTTAATTAAGATTTAAATTTATATTTTCAAAAGGAGCTGTTATTATGTTTCCCCTATTGGGCAGTACAGCAATTTCAATTTTGGAAACCTGAAGAAATATTTTGATCTTAGAAATCAATTTGTAATAAATTAAGTATACTTTTGTAGCATTTTCACCTTTCTTCTCTTTTTGCAGGGACAGGAGGGGTAAGATCAGCACAGAAACGTAAAAAACAGTACTTGATTCCTTCTAGGGATCTACAGAAAGAGCTTGAGGTTTTTATTGGCTCCAATGCCCTTTTAAGTAGGAAGGATGATAATGTAAAAACAATGACTAGTTAGTAACTGTGTGCACAATATAGGCTGAAGGTCAAAGAATTCTATGGAATAAGAACCAGGACCTCTGTTTAGTACGGCGCCAAAGTGAACTTAAGACACAACATATTTAAAAGACTTACTACTGCTTCGGAAAACTTCATACTGTGACTTTATATTTCTCAAACATGATTCAAAGTCATCTTCTGGTCCTGAACTGCAAAAAAGAGTGAATTTATGTATTTATTTTCACAGAAGATGCAAACTAGAGGCAACAGAATATATGCTCCAGTTAGTATTCTGGTTAAAATGTCCACCTTGCATTTTCATAATTACCGTAAAAATTGGAATAACCTAATGAAAATGTCTTAATTTCCTTAAAGCCACAATGAAACAAACAACAACAAAAAAGTCAAACCTGTAAAGTTTAGCTATAAGTTAAACTTCACAATTTACAATAATGGACAAGGTTCACTGAATGAACTGGATGAATGAACTGAGGTGAATGAACTAGTGGAAACGCGACAGTAACGTATTTCTTCCAAAACACTATCACAGCAGCTTTAAAAGAGGGACCTAAGGCAAACCCAACCACCCCAGGTGTAAGTAACTGACCTGAAGACACTGAGCTACTGCATCACCTTCTATATGCAAGATGTGATCACTCTTAGAAATTGGCAGAGTGAATCTAAGCAATCACCTTCTAGTTTAAGGGAAATAATTCTGTCAGAATTTTTACAATACAGTGTCTTTGAGAAGTAATATTTTTAGGACACACTGAAACATGAATATGTATATAAACACCTTGACGCGAGCTGCAATTCCTTTAGAGAGAAAATTTTCTACTACAAAGGGAAGAAACATATTTCAGTATTTACCTTTGATATTCTCCATTGCTGGAAGGAAGACATTGCTGTAAAACTCTCTGCCTTTCTTGCTTTGGAAACAAAAGTAACCAAAATCACTCCGCTGTGAAACTGCTTATTTTACAATTGCTGTTAAAATATGCAACATCGAAATACTTTTTCTGGTTTCTAAAACATACCCTTGAAGTTATTCAGTAAAGTCTTTTAAATTCATCATTGTTTACTCTCATATCCCCTTACTTGTGGGTTATATTTTTTCTCCTTTAATCAGTAGATTATGATAAAGCATTTAGAAGATTCACTTTAAAAAAACAAAACTTTTAAAACATTTATTGGTGTTCTTAACATTCTTACTCTGCCTACAGACATCGTAGTATATAGAAGCACAGAGGAGTAGGAAAGAAACAATTAGCGCAGTACAGTCAGCTCTATTCTGGGTAAAAATCAGTAGCATTAAAGCAAAGGAGTTAAGATTTGGCTGAAGTGATTCAAAAAAGAAAAAGGTAATTATCATTCAGGATTTAAATAGGATTTAGATGAGCGTTTCCAGTTCTGTATCCCTAGAATGGCCTTTACTGTTTGTTTCTCATCTATACAGTACAGATGGCTACATTACTGCCCTAGAAAACGTGGAGTTAGGAGAGTCAAATGAGTTGGCATACGCCCAAGTACGGTTGTGTGTCACAGAATATAGTGCACATAGATTATATGTCTTGTGTAATTCAGTCACAGCAAAACAGAATTCTGGAAATCAAACCAATGGATGCTGCATATGGAATCCTTTTGGTTTTTAAAAGGCAAGTGTTATAAGGCCCATTTTGGTAAAAAAAAAACACCAAAAAAACCCAAAAAACCAAAACCCAAAAACAACAACAAAGAAACAACCAGTATCTAAATTAAAAAGTAATACATTAATGACAGTTTATTTCTAAGCTTTTCTACTATTTAAGAATCAGAGGGGCTGGCACAAAGGCTCAAATGACCAATCAGCTGCCTGCAAACATTTGGATGCTAGTTTCTATCCCGGCTGTTCCACTTCCAATCTAGCTCCGTTTATGGCTTGGGAAAGCCATTGGAACCATACATCCACACGGGAGAACCAGAACAAGCTCCTGGTTCCTGATTGGCTCAGCTTTGCCCATGTGGTTATTTGGGAAGTGAACCAGCAGATGCAAGATCTTTCTCTCTGCCTTTCCAATAAAAATTTTAAATCCTTACAAAAAAAAAAAAAGGAATTAACACAATATGATAGGAAAACAACAACAACAAAAAATTCTCCCATATAATTTGCTGAAACATGAGAGAAAAACACAGTTCACATAAAAGTCCCATAACGACATGACAATTTTCAGTTCCCTGTTTTACTACAGGACGTGTTCCTTGTACCACAGCGAACAGCACTACGGCAAGGAATGGTCAGAACGTGAAGATGGTATGAAGTAGTGCTCCGGCACTGCCATTTAGTAGGTGTTTGCAAAAAGACTTACTTATATTTGTCTCTGTTTCCTCAGCTATAAAATGAGGATTAAAAACACTACCCATCTCCTAAGATTATTCTGAGTATTAAACAGGCAAAACATTTAAACTGCTAAGAACAGTTCCTGACACTCAGCCAGAGTCCCATAAAACTCTTTAAGGTTGTTAGACAGTATGCAAAATATGGTAAATCGACTGCCTGTTCTGGCAAGATGCCAAAGATTGCTCAGGATCTGAACTCTCAACTTCCCAAGTATACAAGAAAAAAGATGAGAGGTAAATTATATCTAAATGGTAACAAAATCACACAGCTTGTGATTCTAAGAAGTATAGAAATTCTGGCAGTTGTAGGAACTGTGAAGGGGAAAAATGCTTTGGAAATATGCCATACTACTAGTTTTGCAATGCTTTCCCTTTCAGAGTATTTTTCCAAGAGCACCGAAGTTTCCAACATTAAATCATGTTGAAGATAAGCAAGAATAGCTGCTGCGTAGCTGAAGCTAAGCAGCACTTGATTCAAACATATAGATTTGATGCTATTTCTAGTTAATTAAAGGTTGACCAGTATGCCTTTTAAATTCCCAAGAACAGATGCATAGATAATGTGTTGTTAACAAGAAGCCCTTGACTCCAGTGGGAAAAAGTTCCAAGAAAAAGGTCTAAGATTTGTTAGAGAAACTAAGGAGAAAAGCAGCCCTAGTGTATGTTGGGGTCTTTTCCCCTCACCTCCAAGAGCTTTCGCTGCTTTGCTGCCCTGGCTGCTTCACGCTGTGCAGCGTATAAAGCTTCTTCTTCTAGTCTTAACTTCTCCTCTTGTAAGGCTAACTGTATATGAACAAAACGATAAGGGTTAACAAAACAGAACCTCTCTGACTGCTCTAAAGAGAAGATGCTTTTCTAATTTGTAAAACGAAAAATAAATTACTTAAAAATAATCTCTGCAAAGCATAACAGAATTGAAATTTTTGACTGTTCATTTCAATTCCTCCCTTTAGAAAGTAACTCAAAACTGGTATGAAACAGAATTCTTTAGAAACTTTTAGAAATTATAAAGCAATAACATCTAATTTCTTTAAACACACAGCTGTTTCTCTCCAGATCAGAACACTCACTGGTCCTCGTTTACAGCAATCATTTCAACACTTACCAGCCTAAATGTTGGTCCTCTTAAGTCAAAGATGTTTAAAATTATGCCCAGTCACCTCACTGTCTGCCGAGTGCACCACGCTTTCTCCAAATGCATGTCTCTATCTTTAAAAAATTTGATGCACATGTCCCCTTGATATTATTTCAAAACTATTAAAAATTATTAAGTCTTCCAAGTTTAAAAGTTTGGTGTTCATGAAAACACATACACTATTTTAACAATATGTCACAGTGAAGGTCAAAATCAAGTTTCAACAGATTTTTTCTTTAGACAGAATTAATATCTATTACAGCTGAATTTAATGCTTTTGAAATCACTAATTGGTGCTAAACAATTTTTAAAATGTAGTTCCATTTAGTTCAGTGATAATATTATAATTACAGGCTATTTTTGTAAGTTCAAATAATATGTTACAATCGCAAGAAGTACTCGGTTTACTGAATACATAAAAAGACAAAAATTTTAAAAAGTGCAAAATAAAGTTGGTTTTACACATGATGCATATTCCTTTTGGTATTCCTATCTGTGAGCTAAGAAATTATCTTAAAAGAATATAAAATCTTCACTTTTTAACATCACAAAGTTTCTGATAAATTAAACTAAACAAAAAAATTATGAAAAGCTGGAATAATTCTTTAAACCATTTTCATCTGTATCTATCTAAATATTGACCCGATGACTATACATAATATATTATCTAATGACAGTAAATGAGGCTTCATGATGACATATATTTAAGTAACATAGAAGGCGATTTACCTCTTTTTGAATTTTCTTATCAAGGTCTTTCTGTTTTTCAGCAATAGAATCATAATGTCTTTCTCTTAGGTCAACAATTTCTTCCTCAGTAAGAGGCCTACAGGAAAAAAAGGGGGGAGGAGGAAAGACCAGTTTGACAAAACACTCATAGTCATTGAAATTCTCAAGCTTTTCTGCTGTAATTATACAAAAGTAATTACATACTACAACTGTTAAGAGTAAAAAGCATATACTACAATACTTTCATTATAGCATATATACCAACTATGATCATCATCTGGGAAATTTTTTTTTTAGGACAATCACCTTTAAGATATTTCCCTCGATTCTAGCTCTGCTTTAGCCATCTAACCCTGGACTGTGGATCACAAAACAGAAACTTCAGCACTTGATACTTTCATCTACCTATAGCCTTACTTCACTTACACCCCATGTGGACACTACTGCCTATCTACAATGTTACCAATATACTCACCTTCTTGCACTCCTATGTTTTACCATCTTCACTCAGGTCACCATATTCTGACCTTGGAGTACTTCCATGATTAGCCCTTTGCAATTTGGCCTGCAGGCCAGGCCCCAGGACTAGTCCCCTCACATTCAACTTGATTCTTATTTCTTTCCTCTTAAAAGAATTCCATCCCACTTTAAGAAATGGGGAGTATCAAGCATCAATTTCTTCAGCCTCTTGCCACGCCCTAACTTAAGTATATTCTTTCCTTCATCTTCCAGAGGTAATGTTCCCTAACGACTACATTTAACGATCCAGTCCTGATATCATCTCCTCTCCCACTCCAGATAATTCTTTGGGACTCTGCTCCATCAATTAGCATTTCTCTTTAGCCTTATCCATTTGTTTTTACATCTCCTCCAAGTGAAGAAACGAGAAACAACAGAGGAAAAAAACATGATTTGATCTGTATCTCTCTATAGCTATTGCTCCTTTTCTTCTTCCCCTTCAGCCAAAATTCTCAAACTTAAATATACATATTCTCAACAATTAGTATATCTAGGATTTACTATGTGCCAGGCTTGCTTTATATTTATTAAATAATTTTAATCACAACACAATCTTTTATGGTAGATATAGAGATTAATTATACATACGAAGGAAATGAGACAAGACTAAGACTGAGATCAAGTAAGTCACACAGCACATGACAAAGCTAGCACTTAAATCCAGGCAGTCTGACTTCCTACTTATGCATCAGTTCACTGCCACTCCCTCTGCTCCCATCACCCCAGCTGCAGCAAAGGTGACCAATGGTCTCGCCATTGCCAAACACAACAATCGTAAGGCCCTCCCTGACCCCCTCCGTTTCAGGTCACAGAGCTGGCCAATCTCTCTAAGCCACCTATCTGTCTCCGCTCCCTATTTTGTTCCCCATGTTCTCTTAGTTCTGCAGGCTATTTCCTGATCATCTTTAGACACCTCTCCTAAAACTGCCATGGCTAACTGCTAACTGGCAAAATAAAGGTAATGTCTCCTATTTCTGTTCCTCTACCCCAGAGCTTCTTTTTTTTTTAGATAATAAAATATAGGCTTTTATATCCAGTTCATAAAGTTTTAACAGTTGTAGAACTTATGTAACTTCCATCCAAAGAAAGATACATAACATTCCTATCACCTCAATACTTCCCTAGAGCCCCTTTCCAATTAGTCCTCTTTTTGCTTATGTAATTTGACTGGAATGTTCTCTGCCTGGGTAGAAGCTACTAACCAAGCCTTTGAGGATCAACCCACATGCCATCCCCGTTTAAAAAAGACTAGGACACACCTTGTACTCTTAGGAAAGGGCCTCTCCTTTAGGGTTTCCTAACTGCTACTTAATTGCTTTTCCACCTCCTGTTGAAATCGGTCACCTCCAGGATCTATCCCACAGACCAGATTTTTCCTTCTTCTAAGGTAGACATGTCTGGTATTTTAATCCCAGTGTCTAGGAAGTGCCTGGTACATGAAAATTGCTTAATAAATGTTTGCTACACTGAAAAAAGTAAGGAGTACACATTCGAAATATGAACTAGCATACAAAAATATCCTCTTGATATCAAAACTGAGTTAAAAACAGATGCTTAATTTTCAAGTAACATATCATTAAAGATTGCTTAAATAAATTATAGTTCCAAGATTCTAATTTTCTATTGAAAGGTGTAAAAAACTTGGTTAGCAGAAAATGTTATAAGGAAAGAAAAGCAAAATAACTTGATTATATTTATCAACAGTAACTGATTTTAAGAAACCAAAGAACATACAACTTAGGTTCAAACAGGATAGTACACAGGTACTTACATACATCAAAGTTTTTAGTGGTCTGTACCATCTTTTAAGGAATATACTGTTTCAATCTTATTAGAAAGAGAAAATTAAGGCTTTGAAACATGTACCCTTCGATGTTTTAAAGTAATCAAGTAACAGAGTCTAAATTCTTAGAGAGTTAAAAATCTTACCTATGACTGCTTCCTGGGCTCTCTCCCTGCGTAAAGGACAAAAGGTTAAGTATTACTAGATAAATTCTACTTAAGACAAACCAATCAGACTTTTGTTCAACACAATCTATTTTCTATTTACGTAGTTTTGTTACAGGAAATAAATTTTATTATTAAAAGTCTTTGAAACAAAAAAAGCTTTAAGTTTTTAGACATGAAAAGCAGGCCCAAGGGAGGAGAAGGAGTGTGCAGACTCAGATGGTGAGTGTAGTTAAGTGGGAAATTAGCACACGCAGCAGCTAACTACACCAGCACGCAACACACACTCTCACTGAATGCAAAACGCACACTTCTCTGTGTACTTGAAGACCGCTGTGCTAGCAATCCAGCTTAAAGTTAAATGAGTTTTGTATGAAATTTACTTACCAAATAACTGAAAAAAATAGCTAAAGTTAGAAACTATACAGTGAATGTGTTCAAATTCCACTTTCAGAATCCATGAACACCCCGGGATAGGCATGGATTTGTTCAGACATATTTTACCTGTCTGTCAACAGAAAGAGGTAAGTAGTATTCTTTTTTAAAGTTTCTTGAGTTCCATAAAATGTTGTAAAACCTATGTGTGTGGGTGTGTGTGCATATTTCCGTAGTATTATATGCTTTGGCAGAGAATTCTGAATTGTTGGCTAATATATATTAAGGTAAAATTTTAACAATAATTGGTATAAATAATGGCATGTCTGATGAGAACGAGGAATATGGGTTTTGCACGATGAAGGAAATACTTACTTCATCGCTTTCTACTAGATTCTCAAACTGAAAGAGTAAGGAAATAAGTGTTAGCAGAGCTATTTGTCCAAAATACATTATCCAATAAGCAGTTACATCACTTTCTTCATCTTACAATCACTATGTACCTTTTTACATGTCAACTCATATGATATATTCAAAAATCCTGTAAAATGGCTGAGGCAAACATGTTATTGTTCTTAATTTATGATCTTTTATGAAAATCAAAGAGAATTACAGCAATTTTCTATATAGACTGAAACTTTGAGCCAAACTTATTTATATAAGAATTTTCTAACTTACCTCAGTTCCAAAGAAGTTAGTTAATTTATTAAAACACCCAAATGTTTTGTAAGCATTCATAAATAATTATTTATTAAAATGTACTAGATAGTATTCACCATTTCTAAATACGTCTATCTAGATATGAATGTTACAATAGGATATTATTTAAAATGACCTAATAAAAGTCATCACTTTACATTTTAACCAAAATATTTATAAATACAAATAATCACTTGAAAGAAAAAGTATTTTGGTGTTAATACTGTTTTAAGACTGAGGAGAAGCAATTCAAATAGTTTAGAAAATAACAATCTAAGATAACAAAAGTGAAAATTATCTTACACTTATTTTTTTATTGGTGTGTGGGTTTTTGTTGTTGTTGTTGTTTTTCAACTCTTTCCTGGCTTATATGCTTCCATATCCAATATGTAAATCGTGAATTTCAGTGTTCAAGTGTTGGAACCAAGAAGTTTTGGGTTGTAGTTCATTTTTTACTACATAACACGTTGTGTAACATGAATAGAGCTCCATTTTTCCTCCTGCCTAAAGCCTCTATTTCTCACCCATAAAGCAGGGTTACTTGCACCTGCTTACAACAGTCGTTACAAGGATTCTGCACAGAGAATACCCCTAAACTGTGTGCCTGGTGCATAGAATCAACTCTGCCGAGCAGCACTGAATCAATGGGACCTTCTATTATGTTTTACAGAGAAAAAGCAAACCGGTGACTTCTGCTATGGAGACACTGAAAATCAATCGCTGCCCTAGGGAAGTCACAATTACTAACAGAAGAGTCCCTCCTCCCCAGCCGAGGAGGGGTGAATATCAAACTCAAAGTCACCCTAGAAACAGCACTTTAATACTCCGCCATGTTCCACATCGACTTTTCCCCACTGCTTCATCAACATCAACAATACTGAAATGTAAGCAGTCCATATTAATTTGAGTCCATTCCTTTCTCCTTAGCTAAAGCCTTTTCTGTCCTTCTCAAGGGCTTTTTGGCCAATCAAATTTGTGACTCTACTTACCTCAATTGTTAAGTGCTCACCTCTTGAGCATGTTCTGAAATACTTAGATCTGAGGAGAAAAACCGAAAAAAAAAAAAAGCACTTAAAAATCACAATTAATATAAAATCAAAATATTATAGCAGCATTAAAAACACTCCCTGAAAATAATCTTTAAGTACTCTAACATACATTTACAAAAAGGAATAACCAACTTTACCAGAGAATGCAAATGTTCTAAATTTTTGAATTTCATTATTAGGTTTTCTAGTCAACCAAAATTGTTGCTTTCAGTATTTTCTAAGCCTGTTATAAATTAATTTACTATAGTTACTATACAGAACATAATTACATTTTAAAATTTGATTTTACTCTGATGTTAAAGGTACTAATGTGTTACATGTAAGCATATGTTCCCAATTGCATGAAACATACACTGAATATCAAGAATCTAGGACATACATTGCAATAAGTTATAAGCAGTTTTCTCTGGATGGTGGGATCTTACTATTTTTATATGAGGCTTTTAAAGTTTACTTTTCATGCTCTTACAAATAAGAAAAGCAATGCACATGTTCATATATGTCAACCAGATAATTTATTGTACTAACTGCTCCATCTAGGACCAAATGTTGACTTTTATTTTAATCATTTGTTTTGTTTTGTTTTGACATGTAGGTAAACAAGCATCTTCTGCATTCTACATGCCCCAAAGCTGAGTCCACACTCTCCTATGTAGTGTCCAAGTTGGTGCGGGACAGAACCACTTAAAACTCCTTTTCTCGGCCAGAGACGGAGGCTAGGACTGTAACCCCGACTGATGGAGAGGGTATCCCGCTGCCCCCCGAGATCTCAGTTCACACTGACAGCTCCTAACATGTTAGGATTACTGGACAGGCAGCACCCCTTTAGGAACTGGAGAGACGTCTACGATTATAAGTGTGTATGGAAGGGGTTGACAAGTTTAGTGAAAGAACTATACTTAAAATCCCTTATAATCATGACTGAAGAACAAAAATAGCAATAAAACCACTGTTATTTTTTTCTTGTAATCTTTATCTACAGATATAGAGTAGTTTCATTACCCACTTAAAAAGCACTGGGAAAAGACAAAGATTTGGCATTATTATTCTAAATAGCTCACAGAACAAATCCAATATAAGCAGAATACTCTTAGTCCTCTAGCTCCCCTTTCTCAATATACACAGAAGTAAGTTGAACCTTCCAGTCACGTTCTGTTCTGGCATTAGGACACCTGCTTACAGCACTTCTCTGCCTGCAATCATCACTTTCCCCCTAAATGAAGAACCTGACTGATTAATCTGTTTCCTCGTTCAGTCTTAGTGAATGGTACAACTGAATAATGAAATATAGATAACAAAAGGATCCAAATATAAGCCATCAGTATGAGCTCACCTAAACCAATACCTTAAGCTGAGTACAATTGTCCAAATTAGGGGAAATACCTTTGGAAAATGCATCCATATTAAACAGAACACTGTAAAATCTGTAACTTATTTTAGTACACCAGTTGTTGTCTGCTGTACCACGCCCATTCAGCTACATGACACTCATGATTACACGTGACTAACTCCGATTCTGACCAGGCTGGACCACAGGCATCCCCCAGGATCACACAGAAACTGAGCAGACACCACCACACACCCATTGCAACTCCCCAGGGAGTGCTGGAGCCCTGGAGCTGCTGGTCTAATTCCTGACAATCTGCAAGGAGATAACTAAAATCAACTCAAGGAGTGCTCAAGTGGTTTGTAAGCCAACCCACAGGACCACTTACATTCCTGCTCTGTTCACAATGTAGCTATTATTGAGAAAACAAATATCCTTATGATAAATCCCATCTTTCGTATAAGTTTGATTTGGGTTTATATCCCCACAATCAATGCTGTGACTGATAAACAAGTGTTTAAGCGATAAAATGACAGATGAGTAACTAATTACTCCCATTTAAAGTACTGAAAGACATATTAAGTAATAATAATGAACGATTTAAAGCGGAAGATAGACAGCAAAATAAGCTAGAAAATAACTCAGGATTTCCTTTTAAGACTTTCCCTTTGAAACCTTATTCAAAGGGGCCTATATGATTCATGCCCACTATCGTAAATATTATATTGATAGATTACAATAAATATTCAATTTGGCAAATTCAGGGGCAGCATAGTAATCTGAAGAGCTTTATTCTGCAATTTATTTAAAATTTATTTGAAGACAAGGAACATGTGACATACATATATATATACATATATATGAATTACAATGTCTATTTTGTGATTATAGCACTGCCCACTGTCTATAGAACCCCTGGATAATGTATATAGAATAGGCAGTAAATCCAGTTGTTGATATTCCGTTATCATCTAGCCATAGGAAAAAAACTAGTTTTTCATGTATTTTCCCGTATTTTCTACTTCTTTGTATGATATACATTTTAAATTATTTAGAAAGCCAGCTGTTTGAAAGTAGCATTTTGAGCCTGGCACAGTAGCCTAATGGCTCAAGTCCTCGCCTTGCATGCGCTGGGATCTTGTTTGAGTGCTGCTTGTTGTCCTGGCGTCCCCGTTGAGGATGGCCCAAAGCCTTGGCACCCTGTATCCACATGGAAGACCAGGAAGATGCTCCTGGCTCTGCTCCAGCCATTGTGGCTACCTGGGAAGTGAACCAGCAGATGGAAGATCTTTCTCTGTGTCTCTTCTTAATTCTGTAAATCTGACTTTCCAATAAAAATAAATAAATCTTTATTTTAGTTGCTATGCCACAGTGTTGGGCATAAATCTTTATTTTAAAAAATACCATTTCAGAATGCAGTCACTTGAAAAGAGAAATTAGAATTAAATTCTATCATATTATTGCATATTTAGAATATAATTAAAAAATAATTATTTGAGGGCCCAGCTCGATAGCACAGCAGTTGAAAGTCTTCACCTTAAGCGCGCTGGAATCCCATATGGGTGACAGTTCTAGTCCCAGCAGCACCGCTTCCCATCCAGCTCCCTGCTTGTGACCTGGGAAAGCAGTAGAGGACGGCCCAAAGCCTTGAGACCCTGCACCTGCATGGAAGGCCTGGAGGAGACTCCTGGCTTTGGATTGGCTCAGCTTTGGCCGTTGTGGCCGCTTGGGGAGTGAATCATTGGACGGAAGACCTTCTTCTCCTTCTCTTCTCCTCTCTGTGTATCTACCTTTCCAATAAAAATAAATAAATCTTAAAAAAATAATTATTTGAAATGCAGAAAGACAAAAACAGAAGGACAACAATCATCCATCTGTTGGTTCACTCCACCCATGTCCTCAACAGCCAGGGAGGGGCCAGGGACTCAATCCAGGTCTCCGTGTGCATGGCAGGTACCCAATTAATTGGGTTACAACCTGGTGTCCATGAGCAGAAAGCTGGAGTCAGACAGAGCAAAGATGTAAACTCTAGCATTCTTTTGTTTGTTTTTTTTATTTTTCTTTGGAAAGTCAGATATACAGAGAGGAAGATCCTTCATCTGTTGATTCACTCCCCAGTGACCACAATGGGCAGAGCTGAGCCAATCCAGAGCCAGGAGCCAGGAACCAGGAGCCAGGAATTTCCTCCAGGTCTCCTACACGGGTGCAAGGCTTTGGGCCATCCTCAACTGCTTTCCCAGCCTACAAGCAGGGAGCTGGATGGGAAGTGGGGATGCCGAGATTAGAATCGGTGCCCATATGGGATTCGGGCACTTCAAGGCGAGGACTTTAGCTACTAGGCCACCCCAACCCTGGCATTCTTAAATGGGATGCTGATGTCCCAGGTGATATGTTAACTGCTGTGCCTATATCTAAGATACTAACAAATTACCCTGTGCCATATATCAATTCTTGTTTTATATTTTTCCTAAACAGAATATCAATAAACACGTTCTTATACTTATCTCAACTTGCATCTCTGCTAAGCAAAAAAACTACATGCTATTAATATGCACAACTGAAAATACATCCTATCTAAAATACAGTCCAATAAATATTTTTAAATTTATTTATTTATTTATGTATTTCAGGTATTTATGTATCTGGACAGGCAGATATACAGACAGAAGGCAATACAAAGATCCTCTATTCTCTAGTTAACTCCCCTAACACAACCAGAGTGAGCCAAACTGACCTGAAGCTAGGAAATATTCACTGGATGGAGGCGTGGCAACATAGCCTAGGGACTAAACACCTTACACCTCCCAGGATCCCATATGGACACTGGTTCGTGTCCTGGTTGCTCCACTTACTATCCAGCTCCCTGCTTGTACGAAACAAACCGGAAAAGCAGTGGAAGATGGCCCAAAGCCTTGGGACCATGCACCTGTGTGGGAGACCCAGAAGAAGCTCCTGACTTCTGGCTTCACATTGGCTCAGCTTCAGCCATTGCGTTAACTTGGGGAGTGAACCAGAAGATGGTAGCTCTTCCTCTCTGACTCTCCTCTTCTCTGTATTATCTGCCTTTCCAATAAAAACAAATCTTAAAAAAGCAACAAAAAACAAGAACTTCAGTGGAGGATCCTGAACAGCTGATTTGACATATGTATTTAAAGCTCAACCAGAAAGCCACTGTGATAGCAGAGCCAACAAAGGATGGAATCTTGGATCAGGAATGTAATGGTGAAACAGTGGACATCAGAGGAGCAGGTCTGCAGAATCTGTTAACACGCTACATGCACAGATGTGAGCACAAAGTAAGCATCAAGGGGGCCTCCCATGTCTGCAGCCTAGAGAATCCCAAGAACAGAGTTGTACTTACCAAGAGGAGGGAGTCTGGGATAAGCGTAGCTTTGTTTTTGGATGCCTTAAGATTGACATTCATATAGTACCTGCATGAGAATCCTTTATTCAAATTCCTCAGCTATAACCTTAGTGTAAAATAACAGTCCATAACCCCTTAAGAATAATTTCTATAATTAAGTCTGAGGCGGCCTCTCAATCCCAGATCACTAAAGGCATTTCTCTTTTTTCTTCAAATCTAAGTAATTCACCTTCCTTTATCTTCCCATCCTGGAATCGAAGCTGGTGGATAAGGATGCTTGCTATGTCAGCATTTTTTT